GACTGAAAGGTCCCAGGTTCGATTCAGGTCAGGGGCATGTACCTTGGTTGCAGGCACATCCCCAGTAGGGGGTGTGCAGGAGGCAGCTGATCGATGTTTCTCTCTCATCGATGTTTCTAACAGTCTATCCCTCTCCCTTCCTCTCTGTAAAAAAATAAAAAAATAAAGAGAGAGAGAAAAGAAAAGATTGCCGTCTGCCTAGGACTAGGTGTTCTACATCCCCAACCCTGACCGCAGGTCGCTCGCTCTGGGATTAGCAATGTGCCATGCGGTGAGCAGTCCCATAAAGAGGCCTGTCTGGTGAGGAACTGAAGTTTCCAGCCAACAGCCCCAGAGGAACTGAGAGGGCTGCCGGCAGCCGTACAGGATAGACCCTCTGGCCTCAGTCGAGCCTGGAGATGACTGCAGCTCCAGCCAACAGCTTTACGGCAATGTCGTGAGAGACTCTCGGAACCAATGGTAAGCCACTCCCGGATGCCTGCCTCTCAGAAACTGAGAGATGATAAGTTCTTCTTGTTTTAAGCTGTTAGTTTTACAGTAATTGGTTATGTAGCAATAGATACCAATGCAGATGCCTTTCTTGTCTTGCACACAGAACGTTCTTAGAAAGCTGAGTGAAACTGCCCTGGCTGGTGTGATTCAGTCAGTTGGGCATTGTCCCAGGCACTGAGAGGTTGCCAGTTCGATTCCAGGTCAGGGATTGGTGCTTTGTTCACACATCGAAGTTTCTCGCTCTTTCTCCCTCTCTCTTTTTCCTATCTAAAAGTCAGTTTTAAAAAAATTAAAAAATAAAACACTGGATGAAACTAACCTAAGTTTTGCTAACCTAAATCTAATTTTGCTCATATAAATAGTAGCCTTCTGTATTATCTTCTCTTTTGTGTGTGTGTGTGTGTGTGTGTGTGTGTTTCATTGAGTATATCTTGAAGATCTTTCAACATTAATACACTTAGACTTCTTTCATTCTTTTTTTTAAAATATATTTTATTGATTTTTTACAAAGAGGAAGGGGGAGGGATAGAGAGCTAAAGACATCAATAAGAGAGAATGATTCATCAGCTGCCTCCTGCACTCCCCCCACCGAGGATGTGCCTGCAACTAAGGTGCATGCCCTTGACTGAAATCAAACCCAGGACCCTTCAGTCCACAGGCCAACGCTCTACCGACTGAGCCAAACCGGTTTCGGCTCATGTCTTTTTAATGACTTTTGAGTTAAAGGCAGGGGATAGAGGTAGCTTTCTTTAACATGTCTAAGAGCACTTAACTTGGAGACGGATGATTAGAAAAGAGGATCAAGGTATAAGTTATAATAACAAAGTTATAATCATAAAAGAAATCTGTCAGGCCCTTACTATGCACTCAGCACAGTGCCAAGCGCTTCACCTGAGTGATTTCACTTAATCCCCACAACAACCCTGTGCGGCTGGTGCTGTTATTATCGCCCAGAGAGTTTGTTATTTGCCCGGGATCACACAGCGTGAGAGGCGGTGAAGCTTGGGTTTGAACCCAGTACATGTAGAAGTCATGTTGAGGCAGGATTTGAATAGGTAAAATAATTCCTTGCCCAGCTGGCCTGGCTCAGTGGGGACCTATGAACCAGGAGGTCATGGTTGGATTCCCAGTCAGGACATATGCCTGGGTTTCAGGATCAACCCCCAGTGCGGGGCATGCAGGAGGCATCTGATCAATGATTCTTTCTCATCATTGATGTCTCTCTCTCTCCCTCTCTCCCTCTCTCTCTCTCTCTCTCTCTCTCTCTCTCTCTCTCTCTCTCTCTCTCTCTCTCTCTCTCTCTCTCTCTCTCTCCCCTCTCCCTCCATCCTCTCTGAAATCAATAAAAATATATTTAAAAATAATTTCTTAAGGACAATTTTATGGTGATTTCATTAACAAACTAGGATTTCTTTCTTTCTTTTTTAAATATACCTATCAATAATCACTTCATTTTTTATTTTATTTTAAAATATATTTTATTGACTTTTTACAGAGAGGAAGGGAGAGAGAGAGAGAGAGCTAGAAACATTGATGAGAGAAACATCGATCAGCTGCCTCCTGCACACCTCCTACTTGTGATGTGCCTGCAATCAAGGTACATGCCCTTGACAGGAATTGAACCTGGGACCCTTCAGTCCACAGGCCGACGCTCTATCAACTGAGCCAAACCGGTTTCAGCACAAACTAGTATTTCTTAAGTGTCAGACAGTCCCAGTTTACTTGCTTACTGATGGTGTAACAAAAAGTCTCAACCTAAAAAAGGTAGCAGTAGCCAGCTCAGGTGACTGGATTCAGGTTCAATTACAATTGTTAAGCCAGAAACACTATCCACCCAGCTGCTACACTGATGGGATGGGTTTAAACAAGCCATCATTGCTTCATTCTCTTTTGAATTCTCTTCATATTCTTCCTCTCCTTAGGGCCATAATTCTGACATATTTAAATGACCTCTGATGGACTTGCCAAAGGTTTTTGCTACTCTGTCCACATTGTAGGGTCGTGTTCTTGACAAAATAAATTAAAAAAGATTTAAATTTTGCAAAATCTCTTCAGACCTTAGACACATGCTGCATTTTTGTTTTCTAGTCAAAATGCTTTTCTTTGTGGAGCACAGAACAGAGACTAGAATTTGAAAAACAGACTTTAATTTTATTTTCAAAAGGGAGTATGTTTACATTCACTTGTGTGTTATGACTTGGGTGCAATTTGAGGAAAATAAGTACCTGGCTCGTATTTCAGCGATGCAAGTTCAGGATCCGAGAGCCTAAGACATAACATTGCAGGTTTCGGAGTTTTGTTATGCAAAATCCATTTCAGTGTGGAGGATAGCCAGGTACATTTTCAGTTGGGCCTGGGATGGCCCTGAATGATAATCGGCAGCCAGCTATATTTTAAGGAGAAAATTCGTGCTTGAACAATGAAACATTCGGCTACGTTTATTATTGTGCCATGTCGTCACCAACTAGCAATTTCAGTGATTACAGTCATCAGTTGCTTAGAAGCATAGTAACCTCCATCTTAGGTAAAAACTGCTATTTAAAAATTTAACCCTGCTGTTCTGGCTTCTGTAAACGCTTGCTTGCTTAAATAATAGGAAAAAATAAGACTGCTCCCATTCCAGAGAGGCCATAATTTATGGCCCAGACAGAGTTGTCAGCGCTGGCGCCAGGCCAAGCCTTGAGATATGGTCTCACGGCCTGTCCCAGCACGCAGGACTTTTTCTTAGAAGGTCCGAAAGTCTCATTCCAAATTTGGAAAACAAAGAGCTGAAAAACATATAAATAAGGGAGACTTCCACCCTGTGGAGCCCCAGAATTTGAGAAGCAAGATTTTCCTCTGGGCCCACAAGTGCTAGCAAACAGAACTCCAAATAAAATTTGGCTTATTGATTAAGGCATCTTCTAATTTACAATATAAGAGCTTAACGATGAAAATGTATTCTGAAAAACTTGTCATGTGATTTCATCCTTGTGCAAATGTCATCGTGTGCAAACCTAGATGATATAACCTACCACACATCTGGGCCATATGATGTATCCTGTTGCTCCAAGGTTAAAAGCCTGTATTGCTGGTTACTGTACAAAACTACAGGAGATAAAATCAAACACAAGAGAAAATGATGCAATCAGATGTGTGAGGCTGCTGCAGGCAACACAGCATAGTTTACAACAAAAATTTAAAAATATATATTTTATTGATTTTTCACAGAGAGGAAGGGAGGTGGAAAGAGAGCTAGAGACATTGATGAGAGAGAAACATCGATCAGCTGCCTCCTGCATACCCCCCACTGGGGATGTGCCTGCAACCAAGGTACATGCCCCTAACCAGAATCGAACCCCGGGACCCTTGAGTCCGCAGGCTGACACTCTATCCACTGAGCCAAACTGATCAGGGCTTTACAGCAAACTTAAAAATATATATATATATATAGATGAAGAAAGATAGAAACATCAGTGATGAGAGAGAATCATTGATCGCTATCTCCTGCACGCTCCACACTGGGGACTACTAGCCAGTAACCCCCAGCATGTGCCCTGACCAATTGAACCGGTGACCTCCTGATTCATGGTGAACACTCAACCACTGAGCCACTGAGCCACTGAGCCACGCCAGCCCGGCAGCAAACTTTTTAAAAAATATATATTTTATTGATTTTTTTACAGAGAGGAAGAGAGAGGGATAGAGAGTTAGAAACATTGGATGAGAGAGAAACATCGATCAGCTGCCTCCTGCACACCCCCTACTGGGGATGTGCCCGCAACCAAGGTACATGCCCTTGACCGGAATCGAACCTGGGACCTTTTAGTCCAAAGGTTGACACTCTATCCACTGAGCCAAACCGGTTTCGGCTTTTTTTTTAATAAATAGAAAGAGCACATTCTAAAACAACGATAAAGGGTATGTATAGTAAATATATATATATATAAACTAGTAACAGTTACTTATTTTCCATGCAAACCAAGTGGTCAGATACAGCCCAAGGTACCATTTGGGAAATGATTTGCTGGTTCAGGCCCCTTGACAGATCTCATTATTTTCCCCCAAAAGGTTTATTATTAGAGATTTTAAACATTCGGAAAAGTTGACAGACTACCGCACACCCTTATGCCCTCCACCTGGATTCCAGGTTAGCGTTCTATGCTTTTTGTGAATCCATCACCTCCCATCCGTCTCCCCGTTCCTCAGCCCTGCCCCCCAGGGAGGCCCCGTCCAGCGGTGCCTCTTGCACACCCTCATCCTGGCACCTGGGCTGGTGAGCATTCCCTCCCCCGCCGCCCGGAGGCAGAACCGGCCCCGCGCGCCGGCGCCCCCCCGCGGCCGCGCCGCTCGCCGCACCCAGCGGCCCGGCCGGTCCCCGCGGCGGGCGGAGGCGGGCGCAGCGCGAGGGAGCGGAGCCGCACCTGCCGGGCCTGGCGGCGGGGCCGGGCCGGGCCGGGCCGGACCGCGGGAGCGGGCCGGGGCTGCGCGGGCGCGGGGAGCGGGGAGCGGGGAGCGGGGCGCGGGGAGCGGCGGCGGGGAGCACGGGGAGCGGGGAGCGGGGAGCGGGGCCGCTGAGCGCCGGGCGCCCCCGGGCATTGGCCGCCGCCGCCGCCGCGCCTTTGAGTCAGCAAACCCCGCCGCCTCCGCCAGCGCCGGAGCCGCCCGGTGAGTGACGGGGACCTGCGGTGTGTGTGCGGGGTGGGGGTGGGGTAGAGCACAGCCGGGACCTGCGGTGTGTGTGTGTGTGAGTGTGTGTCTGTGTGTGTGAGTGTGTGTGTGCTGTGTGTGTGGTGTGTGTGTGAGTGTGTGTGTGTGTGTGTGTATGTGTGTGAGTGTGTGTATGTGTGTGTGTGTGAGTGTGTCTGTGTGAGTGTGTGTATGTGTGTGTGTGTGTGAGTGTGTCTGTGTGTGTGTGTGTGTATGTGTGTGTGTATGTGTCTATGTCTGTGTGTGTGTCCGTGTGTGTGTATGTGTGTGTGTGTCTGTGAGTGTGTGTATGTGTGTGTGTGTCTGTGTCTGTGAGTGTGTGTATGTGTGAGTGTGTGTCTCTGTGTGTGAGTGTGTATGTGTGTGTATGTGTGTGTGAGTGTGTCTGTGTGTGCGTGTGTGTGTGGGGGGGTAGAGCACAGCCGGGGGCCAGTGTCCGCCCGCCTGTCCAGAGGCTCCCCGCGGGCCGGGAGGGCTGGGGTCTCCGGGTTTGGAGCCCGGAGCAGCTGTGCGGGGGCGGGGGTAGGAGGGGGGTAGGAGATGGGGATGGAGATGGGGTGGTGAGGAGGGGGGAGGAGGGGGGAGGAGATGGGGATGGGGGTGGTAGTGGTGGGGGTAACGGGGAGGAGATGGGGATGGTGGGGGAGGGGGGAGGACGGGGAGGAGATGGGAAGTGGTGGGGGAGGGGGAGGAGGGGGAGGAGATGGGAAGTGGTGGGGGAGGGGGAGGAGGGGGAGGAGATGGGGAGTGGTGGGGAGGGGCGGGGGAGGAAGACCCCGAGGATCACAGGGGCGGGCTCAGGAGGCACTGATCCTGGGCTTCTCCGCTACCTGAGAGGGTGGGGCAGGGCTGGGAACCTGGATGCCCGTTGAAGTGCCTGGCAGCTGCACCAGGCCGGCAGGTGGGAGTTATTTCCATTCAGGAAGGGCAGCTTTGGGTTTGGACATTGGGAAGGGTAGCAGGTTTGGGGTCCCCCCCCCATGGGGTATAGGATGGAGAGAAAGTCCACGTTGTTGACCGAGCACCAGGTTTGGTGCCTCCGCAAAGCAACAGCCTGGCTTTGGGGCTGAGGCCTCGCACTCAGGGGAGGAGGAGGTGCAGGCTACGGAGGGGAGTGGGCACAGGGCTTAGAGCAGCGTGGGGCTGGAAGGTCGTTTTTTAAAAAAAAAACACTCAGCTGGGTGCAGTCACAGATGCTGACTTTACCCAGTGATTGGTGAGTCGGGCAGGTAGCAGCTGGCAGGGAGCTCCCGCAGCCTACAGGATGGAAGGCCTTCGGGCACCGGGGCCTGGAGCTAGGCCCGCAGGCCTCAGGTGGGCCGGGAGGTCACCTCCTCCGGGGAGGCAGGGGTCTGTCCGGCATGACCTCCCGGGCACGGACCAGGGAGTGCCAGATGCACTGAGTTAAGATCCTACCCCTGGAAGAGGCGGAAACGGTAATTAAGTTAGGAATTGTCTTGGTTTGGTGATGTGGAGCTTAGCATAAGTGCCTCCATTTGGGGCTTGTCTTTTATATTTTATTTTATTTTTTTAACAAAATGTAGGGCTTTTATTTGGAAAAGACATGCTTACATGTAAGACTCGTGGAATCAGGATTGAGAGCAGGCAGGAGACTTGCATGTGATTTCCTTCTAACCTTGCTTCTGAAGGAGGGGCTAGGAAGGCCCTGGGAGGGCAGCCATTCAGCCAGATCCGAGGGGAGCAGGCCTAGGTCCCCATGGGCTGCTGACTCCTGCTGTGGGTGCTCCCCACTCTGGGGGCGAGGGCTGGGTGTACACTTGGGGTGTATACACTCGCTTTATCCCCCGAGGTCAGAGGGGGTGGTGTGGGTGACACAAGTGAGGACTGACTTCTCCAGCCATTGACCAGGCTGTGCTGGGTCTCCTCCATCCGAGGATAGAGATGAGGTGAGGTGCTCCTGCTACTTCTGCCACTACTTCCAACGACGCCCGTTCCTAAGGCTTTTATTATTATTATTATTATTATTATTATTATTATTATTATTTAAAGGCATGGGCTGTTTTGAATAAAGGAGTAAATATAGGAAGATGTGAAGTCATGTGGTTAGCACTGGCCAGTATTGTACCAGATTATGCTGTTTCTCCTGCCCATCTATTTCATCCTGTTTTCATGGTAACTGTCTCCTGGAGTGAGGAAATGGGTGCGGGAAGAGTGAAGCCTGATTCAGCTGCTCCTCCCCAGGCTCCCCACCCCCTTCTTATTGAATGTATTGGGGTGCAGCCAGGCTATCTGGACTGACACTCTCCGCTTCGCTCCCCACCGCGATGGGCTGTGGGGAGAACTTCCTCTTGTTTGAGGGCCGTGGCCGGCAAACCGCGGCTCTTTGGCCCCTTGCGTGTGGCTCTTCCACAAAATACCACGGCCTGGGCGAGTCTGTGTTGAAGAAGTGGCGTTAGAAGGAGTTGAAGCTTAAAAAATGTGGCTCTCCAGAGAAATTCCAGTCGTCGTCCTGTGGATGTTTGGCTCTGGGGACTAACGGGTTTGCTGACCGCTGTGAGGGGGGAAGGCCTCCCGGAGCTTTCATCCCTCTTCCCAACGGGAGCGTGTGAACAGAGACGGGCAGTTGTGCTCTGCGGCAGCGGTGGGGCAGGGCTTTGGGGCACTCTTGGTATCTTTCCTCCGTCTTAAGGTTTCTACTTTCGTTTTTGAAGGGTTCTCTTGGTTAAGCAAGCTATTTGGGGAAAGGCTTTGTTTTTTTTTGTTTTTTGGCTGTGGTTTAACAACCTTTTGTGAAGCGCTTAGAACTGACTGAGAGCAAGGTCCGACATTGCAATCTTTCATTTCCTTCCTATCTATTTATTTTAAAATGTTTTTATTGATTTCAGAGAGGAAGGGAGAGGGAGAGGAAGAGAGAGATGTCAATGATGAGAGAGAATCATTGATCGGCTGCCTTCCGCATGCCCCCCACTGGGGATGGAGCCCAAAAGCCAGGCATGCCCCTCCCCGGGAATGGAACTTTGACCTCCTGGGTCATATAGGTCCAAGCTCAGCCACTAGCCATGCTGGTCCAGCATCTTTTTAAAAAAATTTATTGACTTTTTGAGAGAGAGAGAGAGAGAGAGAGAGAGAGAAGCATCATTTTGTCGTTCCACTTATTTATGCATTCATTGGTTGCTTTTGCGTGTGTGTCCTGACCTGCCGTTGAACCTGCAACCTTGGCCTATCGGGATGATGCGCTCACCAGCTGAGCTGCCTGGCCCAGGACACAGTCTGTCATTTCTAAGAATGGCAAAGAAAGGCTTCGGCTCAGACTCATGGTGGCCCTCCACGGAGAATACCCCAAAGTTTGTTGAACTGTTACACCATCTCTTTCTCTTAGTAATCCGGTAGGCCAGTGGTCGGCAAACTGCGGCTCCCAAGCCACATGCGGCTCTTTGGCCCCTTGAGTGTGGCTCTTCCACAAAATACCACGGCCTGGGCGAGTCTATTTTGAAGAAGTGGCGTTAGAAGACTTTTAAGTTTAAAAAATTTGGCTCTCCAAAGAAATTTCAATTGTTGTACTGTTGATATTTGGCTCTGGTGACTAATGAGTTTGCCGACAACTGCAGGAGATAATATTCACCTTTATTTGTTCTCTAAGCTCTGTTCAAACAAGAGGCTGTTCATGGTAGTGGTTACAACTTCTGGTTTCAGAATTAGAGGACAAGGTAGTAAAGCCAATAGTTGCAATACTGGTAGGTATAATAGGAATCAATAGAAAAAAATTCCAATAGAAATACAGGCCAAGGCCATTAATAGGTCATTCACATATGAATATTAAAATGTTAAACCTACCTTAACTGGTTTGGCTCAGTGGATAGAGCGTTGGCCTGGCGGATTGAAAGGTCCCAGGTTCGATTCTGGATGTTTCTGACTCTATCTCTCTCCCTTCCTCTCTGTAAAAAAAATTCAATAAAATATATATTTTAAAAAGTTAAACCTGGTTAGTAATCAGGTAAGTTTGCTTAGGTTGGTAACAGCCCGTGTTGGTGAGGGTGAGGGAAGATAGGTTGTCACCATATACCTTTGTGGGGAGTCTAAATTGGTATGGCCTTTGGGAAAGGCGCTTTGGCAGTGTGTAGGACATTAAAAACTTCGCATTCTTCCCGATGCATCAGTTCCATGTCTAGGACTTTATCCCTCAGAAATGCTTGCCTGCTTGAGCACAGGAGGACGCTGCTATAAATGAGCTGACATGGAGACTATCCGTTAAATATTTAAGTAATGCAAGCAATGTGCAGAACAGGAGGTATAGTACGATCTCATTTTTTGAAAACAATAGTGTCTGGAAGGCTATAGTCCCAGCTGTAGAGAGTTGTTGCCGTTTGTAACGTGGAATTAGAAAGGGAATGGTAGCATGGAAGCCTATTTCTTTTAAACTGTTAAATTTTGAAATAAGTTTAAACTTACAGAAAAAGTACCAACATCATAAACCTCTTATTTAAAAAAAATAATAATAAAAAAAATATATATATATATTCTACAGGGAGGAAGGGAGAGGAATAGAGAGTTAGAAACATCGATGAGAGAGAATCATCGACCAGCTGCCTCCTGCACACTCCCCACTGGGGATGTGCCCGCAACCAAGGTACATGCCCTCGACCGGATTCGAACCTGGGACCTCCCAGTCCGCAGGCCTATGCTCTATCCACTGAGCCAAACCGGTTTCAGCAAACCTCCTATTTTCAAGAATTATAAGTATATATTACTAAAAATAACAATAATAATAATAATTATAATAATAATAATAAAAATGGTGCCCTGGCTGGTCATTCAGTGGTTTGAGCATTGGCCTGTGGACTGAAGTGTTTCAATTTCAAGTCCCAGTAAAAGGGCACCAAAAAACCCACAAAAACAGCGCAGTACTGAAGCATGCCTGTGAAAAAAATGCCATAGTGATCTCCCACTGTCTCCTGGCTCTCTGCCACTCAGCCCTCCTCCGTGAGGCTCCTGGGTCT